AATATTTGAAACCCATTCCTTTTCTTTTTTGTTTAGCTGTCATATTTGATCTTATAATTAAATTAGCGGGTTTAAAAAATGGTTTAGACACGTTAAGTGAAAATTTACGAGATGAAGCATATGCCAATCAACTAGGAGAGATAAGACAGTGTCTTGCAGATATATATTTGCAATATGAAAACAGGTATGTGAACCAGCAAATAGGCATAATACCTTAGGAAGTAGCATAAGAAGACATAAATGAAGACTTTAACTCCTGGAGTGCACTTAATAGGCCGAAGAAGACCTGAACTCGAAGCATAGCCTCATCTTCAGAAGCATCAACAACGAATATACTATCCTCCATGCAGTTGTAGAGTAATGAGCTTCACCAATATTTGGGAACATCTGACTTACTACCAGCAGATCCACAACAAAGAGTCAACTTTGATGTCTTAGAATATTAGAAAATCAGAAAATATATTTTTCCCGTATTATCAAGACTTGCCCTGGATGTTTTCTTTGTTCATGTCTCAACCGTCTTATCCGAACAAACATTTAGTGCAAGTGGAAGAATTTTAAATCAAAAGGAGGACTAAACTTTCACAAAAAATGATTAAAGGTCTCACATGTTTTCGAGATTGAGAACGATCGTGTTATCAGGATCAATACGAAGTTGTCGATGATACTTTAATAGAATCATACAATTTTATAATTTAGATGATACAAATGAAAGAGGTCCTAATGTCCTAATCAACCCTAAAATTAGTTGTTTTGTAAATTATAACTTTATAATTTACAAATTAACTGTTAATTATTGTACTCTTTTTTCCTTACCAAGTTTTTATCCCAATTGGGTTTTTCTTAGTAAGGTTTTTAACGAAGCAATAATTGTTGTAATTTCTTATTTCTTATTTTATTTTCTGATAAATGAATAAATCAAAATTTTCTTATATTACAATTTAATTGTATTAAAATTGAATTAATATTTGAAATGTTAAATAAAAAAAAATTAATTGAATTGAATTGATATTTGAAAAGTTGGCTAAAAAAAATTATAGAAAAGAAAAAAATTTAAAAAAAAAAATTCGGGCCAACCCGACCCACACAAAAACCCGTCGGTTTAGGGTTGGCGAGCCAGGCTAAGCCAATCCTTTTGGCCGAAGAGGCGAGCCACTGGGCCGAACCTAACCTGCTATGGGTCAGGCCGAGCAGGTTAATTTTCCACCTTTAGATGTAACTATAATAATACATGTAAAATAAACAAGCAAAGGAATAAATTTTTTGATCATTTATATGCTTTCTTCTCTTTTATATTAGTTTAAAGGTAAGAAGTTATGAGTACAGTCAATTACAATGCAGTGCTAGCATTCCATTCATGTATTGTTTTCTGGTGTTCCTGTACTTATCAAGTAGCACCAAATAGTTCTTGATAACATCCTCATATGAAATCTCACTACAAAATTTAGATTTAACCTGCATGAATGCTGCTTCTGCCACACACTTGTTCTGAACATATGAAGGGAGCATAGTTTCAACTATCGTAAAAGGTAAATTCCCATCAAGTCCGCCAAATGATTCTTTTTTCCAGTCAAGAAACTGAAGCCACCTAATCCGTCGAAAGGGATCTACATTTTCTTGTATATCCATGGCAACACTACTAAGTACTTCCAAGAACCTTGATTCGGTGCGAATTTTATCAATCAAGTGGGTGAAGATAGTTTTCTGGTTCAGATAAAGCCAGTCATCAGTTTCCAATGGTGGAGAAACAGCTGCAACCAAGCATGCCTTTCGAAAGGTAGGATCAGAATCTCCAATTTGTAAAATGACAAGATGCAACAGATTCACAGACATGAGTTTCAGAATTTCAGATGAAGATTCAAGGGAATCATGATGTTTTTGGACTTCGCTCCAACAACAAAGTGCAACATGCGCAAATCCCTCCCACCTGTGTTTAAAGTAAAAAGCAGAAATAAGAATATCAGAAACAGAAAATCTTTAAGCTGACTATTTCACTTAAATTTCTATATTTATCACTTCATCATTGCCTTCTTAACACATTTTCAGACATATTATTTTAAAACAATACAATTGTTAATTTTTTAAGCACATTCGACAATTTCATTAAAATAAATGTTTCAGATGTACTCAAGATTCTGTTTTAATATAAACCGTGTTTAAATTGACATCAAAAGCAAATGTGTAAAACTAAAACATGCTTAAGTGAAGATATTTTGCGAGACACCAAAAGCAAATGTGTAAAACTAAAACATGCTTAAGTGAAGATATTTTACAACATATTCGCCATTTATACAATTTATATACCCATATTTATTAGAATAGGGTGATACAGACTTTTATTATCTAGTTAATAATCAATATATTTTTTTTCAGGAATATGTAGTATATGAAAGATATGCCTACTCGACAACTTTTACAAAGACAATGGCCAAAGACATTGTCTCTGTGTCCCTCAAATAAAACTGTCTATATCTATTCCCCCCCCCCCCCCCCAATGCTGCTACAACTCCCGGTGGTTCTAAAGGTCGTTCTCGTAATCGTCGTCCTCGTCCAACTCCATCTGAAGTAGAAGTTGGTTCATCAATTGTAGTCGGAACCGACGATAGGCACACATCAAACGTTTGGGTGCATTTTAAAAAGTTTTACGAGACAGAAAATTGAGTTCAAGTGAAGAAAGCAAGATGCAATAAAGCTGATGCAGGTAATGGTACTAGTACTTTAAAAAGACATGCTAGTAAACATATAAATCATCACGGAAATAGAGAAACCAATCAAACTCAAATAACTAGAATGGATACTATGACGTTATAATTCTGATGTATATAGGGAACAATTAGTTTTATATATTGTTGCAACTGATCAACCTATTAATATGGATGAAATGATTTAATAAATTTTTTTGGAAAATGAAATTAGAATTAAGAAATAAAATACATAATTGTCATGTTAGTGTGACTCTAACTGCCGATATTTGGAGTGGTAGAGCTAAATAAGATTATATTTGTGTGACTAGTCATTATTTTGATAACGAATGTAAATTAAATAAATCTTTATTGGGATTTAGATTAATGGATGTGTATCATCGTCGTCAACAAATTTATAATAAAATTGTTGAAGTTTTAGAATATCATGATATTATTCACAAAGTGATAAGTTTAACTTTAGATAATACAAGTGCTAATAGTAGAGTTATAGATTTTTTTAAAAATAAATTTTCCTTTTTATGACAATTTGAAGTTTTTTTAACAATGTTGTGTATGCCATACTATTAATTTAATTATGCAAAGTGTTATGAAAAAAATTAGAAATAATATTAATAGAATTAGATATTCTTTAGCTTAGATTACTAGTAGTAATAAAAAAAATACTAAATTTCAAGATGCTTGTATAAAATCAAATTTGTCTAGAACTTTTGCATTCGACATGCCTATTAGATGGAATAATACTTATTTAATGTTTGATTCATGTTTACCTTATACAAATTTAATTAATTATTTTGTAGCAAATAATAGAAGTCCTCATTATTTGGTAGACAGTGATTGACATATAGCTCAAAAATTTCACTATTTTCTTAAAATCTTTTATCTTTCCACTTTAAAACTTTCTGGTGTGTATTATCTTACTAGTCCATTAGTAATACATACAATTATAAAAAAATTAGATTTATTTAAAAAAAAAAACAGAAACAATGAAATTTTAGCAGGACTAATAGAGACAATAGAATTAAAATTTAAAAAATATTTGAAACTCATTCATTTTCTTTTTTGTGTAGCTGCCATATTTGATCTTATAATTAAATTAGCGGGTTTAAAAAATGGTTTAGACACGTTAAGTGAAAATTTACGAGACGAAGCATATGCTAATCAACTAGGAGAGATAAGATAGTGTCTTGCAGATGTATACTTGCAATATGAAAACATGTATGTGAACCAGCAAATAGGCACAATACCCTAGGAAGTAGCATAAGAAGCACAAATAAAGACTTTAACTCCCAGAGTGCACTTAATAGGCCGAAGAAGACCAGAACTCGAAGCATAGCCTCATCTTCAGAAGCATCAACAACGAATATACTATCCTCCATGCAGTTGCAAAGTAATGAGCTTCACCAATATTTGAGAACATCTGACTTGCTATCAGTAGATCCACAACAAAGAGTCAATTTTGATGTCTTAGAATATTAGAAAACCAGAAAATTTATTTTTCTCATATTATCAAGACTTGCCCTGAATGTTTTCTCTATTCCTGTCTCAACCGTCTTATCCGAACAAACATTTAGTGCAAGTGGAAGAATTTTAAATCAAAAGGAGGACTAAACTTTCACAAAAAATGATTGAAGTCCTCACATGTTTTCGAGATTGAGAACGATCGTGCTATCAGGATCAATACGAAATTGTCGACGATACTTTAATAGAATCATATAATTTTGTAATTTAGATGATACAGATGAAAGAGGTCTTAGTCAACCCTCAATTTAGTTGTTTAGTAAATTATAACTTTGTAATTTGCAAATTAACTATTAATTATTGTACTCTTTTTTCCTTACCAAGTTTTTATCCGAATTGGGTTTTTCTTGGTAAGGTTTTTAATAAGACAATAATTGTTATAATTTCTTATTTCTTATTTTATTTTCTGATAAATGAATAAATCAAAATTTTCTTATATTACAATTTAATTATATTAAAATTGAATTAATATTTAAAATGTAAAATAAAAAAAATTAATTTAATTGAATTGATATTTGAAAAGTTAGCTAAAAAAAAATTATAGAAAAGAAAAAAATTAAAAAAAAAAAATTCAGGCCGACCCGACCCACATAAAAACCCGTCAAGTTAGGGTTGGTGAGCCGGGCTAGGCCAACCCTTTTGGCCGAAGAGGCGGGCCACCAGGCCGGGCCTAACCCGCCATGGGTCAGGCCGAGCAGGGTAATTTCCACCTTTAGATGTAACTATAATAATACATGTAAAATAAACAAGCAAAGGAATAAAATTTTTGATCATTTATATGCTTTCTTCTCTTTTATATTAGTTTAAAGGTAAGAGGTTATGAGTACAGTCAATTACAATGCAGTGCTAGCATTCCGTTCATGTATTGTTTCCTGGTGTTCCTGTACTTATCAAGTAGCACCAAATAGTTCTTGATAACATCCTCATATGAAATCTCACTACAAAATTTAGATTTAACCTGCATGAATGCTACTTCTGCCACACACTTGTTCTGAACATATGAAGGGAGCATGGTTTCAACTATCGTAAAAGGTAAATTCCCATCAAGTCCGCCAAATGATTCTTTTTTCCAGTCAAGAAACTGAAGCCACCTAATCCGTCGAAAGGGATCTACATTTTCTTGTATATCCATGGCAACACTACTAAGTACTTCCAAGAACCTTGATTCGGTGCGAATTTTATCAATCAAGTGGGTGAAGATAGTTTTCTGGTTCAGATAAAGCCAGTCATCAGTTTCCAATGGTGGAGAAACAGCTGCAACCAAGCATGCCTTTCGAAAGGTAGGATCAGAATCTCCAATTTGTAAAATGACAAGATGCAACAGATTCACAGACATGAGTTTCAGAATTTCAGATGAAGATTCAAGGGAATCATGATGTTTTTGGACTTCGCTCCAACAACAAAGTGCAACATGCGCAAATCCCTCCCACCTGTGTTTAAAGTAAAAAGCAGAAATAAGAATATCAGAAACAGAAAATCTTTAAGCTGACTATTTCACTTAAATTTCTATATTTATCACTTCATCATTGCCTTCTTAACACATTTTCAGACATATTATTTTAAAACAATACAATTGTTAATTTTTTAAGCACATTCGACAATTTCATTAAAATAAATGTTTCAGATGTACTCAAGATTCTGTTTTAATATAAACCGTGTTTAAATTGACATCAAAAGCAAATGTGTAAAACTAAAACATGCTTAAGTGAAGATATTTTGCGAGACACCAAAAGCAAATGTGTAAAACTAAAACATGCTTAAGTGAAGATATTTTACAACATATTCGCCATTTATACAATTTATATACCCATATTTATTAGAATAGGGTGATACAGACTTTTATTATCTAGTTAATAATCAATATATTTTTTTTCAGGAATATGTAGTATATGAAAGATATGCCTACTCGACAACTTTTACAAAGACAATGGCCTAAGACATTGTCTCTGTGTCCCTCAAATAAAACTGTCTATATCTATTATTCTGTCAAGAACATGGGCCAGTTCACATGTATACTATATTTAAAGTAGAAAGGGTGAGCATCTACACCAAAAAAATAAAATAAAATAAAATAGACAAATCAAAAATCAAAAGAAAAATTTATAGCAAGAAAGAAGTATTGATCTTAGGAGAAGAGCAAAACATGCTACAAAAATAAAATAAAATAAAACAAATGTGAGCCTTTTATATGATAATCATACCACACACCAATATACAAGCCTCAAGATTAAAGAAATAAATTTACTCCAAAATCAACATGAACATGCAAGGAGGACAAGAAACTTCTCCTAACTATCATTCAAGGGTTTTGAAATCCAGTAATTCAAGATTTTATGACAATATTAACTTTTCATAAGTTTCCCAGTTTAGGTTGTAATCCAAGGGCCAACCCACATGCTAGAAAGACAAAACTACCTAACACTAAATGATCTAAACAAAAATATCATTACCCAACACAATAATTCAAATAATATGTTATTATCTATGGAGCAATGGATCTTATAATCATGTCAATCAAACATAATTGTTAGGGTCCAAACTGATAGCAGAATAGTCAACACAACACAAGCACCAGCAGGCTCACTTACAATTAAATTTTGGACCCAAGCACATGCTTTACAAGGAGTTTAACGCTAAAAATTTGATGCAGCATACTGAGTTGTCAGAGAAAACGCTCTCCCTCTGAAAGCGAAGGCTAAAAAATGAATCCCGTGACTTTAAAGAAATCTTTTTGTTCCAAAGGCAAGTATCCATTTTAGTTACCAAGTCCATAGACTCCAACTTAGCAATTATATTGAGCTTTATACTTCAGACTCTTTTGGTAATTTGAGTTTTGTTGGATTTTGTTGTTGGTAGAATAACATTGGGTCTTGGCTTTAAGTAGAGTTTATAGGAGCAGAGTATAAAAAGAAATTTTATAAGAAAATTGTCAATTATTTGTGGTGTAAATGTCAAAAGCGTATTTCGGGGTTGTTTGTTTTTTAATCCAAAGCCTGAGTACAACTTAATCTAAGTCATTTAGATTTTCTTTATTTTTTATTTTTTTTAATTAATGGTAATAATTCCTATATTTTTATCTAAATAGAAAAGACCAAATCTTTTAGTTTAATAGTTTCTTTAATTCTTCATTCTCTAAAATACCCTTTATACAATTCAATATATACACCCCTACCCATATAAAACAAAAACTTTAAAATATTATTTCAATCAAATGAAATTTATATTAACATATTGATGTAGGAAGAATGGAATAGTTTCTAGGAATTAGTTGTATTAATTAAATTAAACTTCTGTTTCATTGTTTTATTAGAATTAGGATTATTAAAATTATATTTTGATTAGGATTTTAATTTTTTTTTTTAAGCCAATAAATAAAGGCTTCTTTCATTATTTTTTCGTTGCTTGATTTTTTATTGAATAAAGATATTGGTTCTCTCCATATTGATTATTTCTTTCTCCCTTAATTCTTCTAGATTTTGTCCACTTTCTTGTTATCCTCCCTAGTCTATCTTCCTTATCTATCTGGTTAAACTTTTGCTCCTCCATCACATATCCTTTCTTTTATCTTTTTTTTTTTCTTTCCAAAAATTATTTAGACAATAGTTAAACCTATGGTTTAGTATGATTTCAAACAATTCCTAAGAATCAAATTATATTTCAAAGTTGTGGTTTTCTCTTATTATTATTTTTAGTAGATAAAGCAGAATTAAATTTAAAAAGATTTATATTCAAAATTCGCAAAAACAAATATATATATTGAATACAAACCTATTTAGCTTTATTCAAATTTCAAATAGAAAAACCCAAAGGCTACCGAAAACTACCAAAAGGTTTTATAATTACAAAAAAAAAAAAAAAAAAAAAAAAAAAAAAAAAAAAAAACAAGGATAAGGTAAAATTCTAAAATACCATAGGCTATGTTACATCTCACAACTTTAAAAAAGCTCAAAAAGAACTTATTTTAAAAGCATAAATTTTGGACTTCTCCCAATACACAAAAGACATTTATTAATCTTACATTCTTTCTAGAATCACAACCAACAAAAAATAAAGAATTTTCCATTTAAAATAAAATAAAATATGAAAAGAAAATATTTTGAGTAGTACAAAACCATACAAAATGCAAACTAATCTTGATCTAAGTTGAGCTACAACATAATCTAGGTTTAGTTTATTTGTCAAGGTTCATATGCTAAATCTTATGATTTTATAATAACTTTTTTTTTTTTTTTTAATACCAAAACCCTTAATCTTTGTACATGTTAATTCTAATCTAGGCTTACTTTCAAACCCAACAAACTTAATAGATTTATGACACTTATGCTAAAATTGATAAGTAGCAGTTTTTTACTGCATTTTTCTTCTTTCATCATCTCAGTCACATTTTATCTTTAAATTGATACACTTAATTTCAGCAACAATCACGTTGAGAGGAAAGTCCACCAAGAGAGCTACGGTTTATTCCAGAAGAAGAAAAAGATATGGCAAGAGATAATTCAAGAACTCAAATTAAGGGCAACAATCGGCAATTTCAATCTCCATAAAATAAGGAGTTGATTTCAAGGGAATAAAGGAGGAGGATTATTATCAGAATAAAAGAGATTACATTGGTAGTATATACGGCCACCAGCAGACAACATGGCATCATGAGTATAATTTTCATTTTGGCTCTTTAAGAATTGTAGTCGGGTTAATCCTGGAACGGTTGTTTTAATTCTTTGATTCCTCTTTTGTTTTCAATCTTCTCTCGAATTAATAAAATCAAGCCCCATTTCTGTGTACACCGTTTTCACTCTAACATAAATACTATCACCAAACAAATAGTTTGAACTTCACACAGAATACCTTATATTTCCTGTCCCTGAACTTCTTTTTTACAAAAAAGGCAAACCCTTCCATCAATAAACCTTTAAATTCTAGCCATTCCTTGATTCATTCTTTCTCCACTAGTATAGCCACCAAATGATTGAACAACAACGCCAAAAAACCTTTTTATCTTTGTTGTTGTCCATTATATGGGGTAGCAAGCTGCTAATCAATCTTTTTCCCTCAAAACCTAACATATCTTACCCACGTTTCATTCAATACCTTTTAAACTTATACCAAGAACTTTGAATTCACCCCGCATCAAACTAATTTCTAAGGATTTTCACACATCTTATATAATCATAATAAAAGAAAAAAAAAAAAAAGCATTTGAGGTTACACAAGAATTGAGAGTGAAAATGTCACTAAAAAACATTAACACATATAGACACTCCTTGATCACACTCATTACCATTCAAATTCCTAAGTTAGGTGTGGATATAATATCAAACAATTTACCACAAGATACAGTTAATCTATGATGAATTAATGGTGTAATATATATATATATACCACAAGATATAGTTAATCTATGATGAATTAATGGTGTAATATATATATATATATATATATATATATATAAAAGGTTAATGTTTATATACAAAATTCAATTTATGCAAACATTAGGGCCTGAACGAGGTATATAATAAATATCTTACATTTCATAAAGTCAGGGCCTAAACATTTAAATATCTCGTACTGTTTTCCACATTTAGTTGCACAAGAAAATATATATCAGAAATCTCAAAGACAATTGTCAACCTAAAGTAACCACACTGTATCTAGTAAAAGTACACGACACATGAAACTAAAAATTCACAGTAGAACATAAGCTTTGATGATGTAAGACAGACATGGCTGAAAATAAGAAATTTAATCAATTAAATATTCAAAAATATTTCCCTTTGAGACTAAAAATTAATTGGGTTTAAGTATTACTTACTCAAATGGAGGTTCAACCTCAACACCAAGGGTCAGGTGCAAGGAATACCCAGCAGACTCAGAGAGTTCACCATTATCTGTACATGCCTCATGAAGAAAACCTCTTGGAATGTATAAGATGTCCCCTTCCATCAGCGAAAATTGCCTGTATTCATTTTTTGAACTCTCAACCTCAACATTTACAATAGCACGGGGATAATACAAACGAGGTAACTGCACACAGGGCTGAGAAAAAACCTTCCATTGTTTAGATCCAAAAATTTGAACCACAAAAACACAGTGATCATCATAGTGACGTGCCAAACCCTGAGAATTAGGAGGTGTCATGTACATATTGGCACCTACTGATGGTTGACCAAACAATGAAGCAAAACCATCTGAAATTGCAGCGACACTCTCAAAGCGGAACTCCATGCCTCGCATAGCAATTGTATAACCCTCTTTACATGCTTCTTCACATTTTGAAAAATCATCACCATAAATAAAATAAGGAGTCTTGATGCTGCAAATATCTAAACATCCAGGAAAGTAATGCACCTCACTTCTTGAGTGCTTCTCTGTTCTTAAAACTCGTATGTCCTGGTCATAGATGAGAGGGCAACCCAATCTATTTCTCCCCTCCTTCAAGAAACTAAGGATGTCTAGTTCATCTGAAGGAATAGGCAGACAAGAAATCAGAGATTGAATGGTAGAAGACAGAAAGGAATGAAATGATTCATTGAAATTCATAGATTGTGAAAATGAGCTGAAAAGGTCATTTTCCTCAATCAAAGTATTTGGGATCCTTTTTATAAGCAAGGGTGAGATCTCCCAGTAATTTAGCATGAAATTTTCAAAAGTAGCCTCGCTGGAACCAAAAATGCATTTTTTGACCATCTGATGCCCTGAAAGTTTTGTGAGACTTTTAGCATTTAGGGCAAGCCTGAAAGTGCTTTCTGCCAGATTATTAATGGTAATATTGCTTACACAAAACTGCCTCTCTTTAGTGGATCTAATAATATTGGAACATAACATTTGATAGCGAACTTTTAACCACAGCTCTTTTAAGAAGACAAAAAAGCATTCAGATAGTCTCCTTGGGATCTTGTCCAATTGTTCAATGTTGCATGCATTAACAAGATTTATAGTGGCATCAAAATGTACTGCTGGAATAGCATCTTCTTTAAACCCGATCCTGAGAGAGGTGATACTGCCATTTTCTCCAGTGTATAAAGAAACCATAGTTGATGATTTATGAACCTGAAGAAATTCAAATCTGATGGATGTTAAGCCAGCCTGTATATAATCCACGACTTCATTACAGTTTACAACAGAAAGCGCAACAAATCTGAGATAATGTTATTCCAAAACCATATGCATAATTCCTCTAAGCAGAATGAAAGACAAACGTATTTACCCTTCAAATAAACATATTTTAAACATCATTGTTAGTAAAAGCATCTATTTGTTCAAATCCATGATTCTGAGTCAATTTCATCCTCAATTTTCCATTATTCAAGTAAATTCAATTGGTATAAGAAAACAAAGTTCTTGAGGAAAAAAAGAAGCAAAGGTTAATTTCAAGCTTGTTTCCGACACCCAGCGAAGCGGAAAATCTTATATGTGAGATTAAACAGAAAAAATAAAATCAATAAAATCAAAGATCTACTATGGCATATAATTAATTCAGATACACCAGTCAATCTCTCAGAGCAAAAATAAGTTGTTGTTTGTCCAAAAATGAGTTGGAGGCAATACTTTCGAGGGATAGGTTATAATTAGCAACAGAAGAAATGCATGCTTAAAATGGTGATTGCACATTATTCTCATGCCATCAAAAAATGCATCTGAAGCCCTTCCACTGCTCCTTTGAGAATGAAATTTTTCAATTTAAGGATATTACCAGAGATTTGCTTATGAGTTCAACACACATCAAGCAGTGGTGAGACTCAATGCATAAGGGGTGTTATGAACATGCACATAAAGAAGAGAGCATTATCCATTTCCAAACATGTGGAGATTGGTCATTTTATCAGGGAGAAACTAGACTCAAAGGATGATATGTACTCCTTATGTTACTTCCTCAAATCAGCTGGTAGACGTGCTTACTAAAGGATTGATAGGGTCTACATTTCATCAAATCCTAGGCAAGCTGGGAATGCAGAATATCCTAGCACCAGCTTGAGGGGGAGTGTTGACAGCCTTTATTTTAGAATCAATGGAGATTTAATTGAGAGTTGGAAATTTGATTGACAGCTTTGCAGATTTAAAAGTTTAAGATTTATGCAAAGTTTTAGATTACACAGCTATTTACCTTAATCTGTATTATTTCTTTCCTTTTCTAGAGCATAAGTCAACCTAGGTTTCTGTATAAATAACTTGTAATCCTATCAAATATACAAAATTCAATTTTCTCAGAATTGTTCAAAAATAAAATAAAAAACCATAAAAAGCTTTTATAGACAATTCAGTCAAATTTATATATCTCTGTTGAGATGAACTTCACAGTGCTGAACAAGAAATAAGATTGCTTTATCAATGATTAACAGATGACATTGGGAACTCCAACTGAATTCCAAAATTACTTTTACCATTCATCATAAACACTAATGAATTCAAGAAATGAATAAATTTAACAGAGAAAAATATACGAAAATTAAACAGTATATAGTCAGACATATTACAATACACGAACTCAAGTTATGGACCAAGTGCGTAACCCAGGCCGTAGCCCAAGTAGCTTTAATATTTTTTTTTTTTTTTGGGTGAAAGTGGCTTTAATCTTTTATAAAATATAAGTTAGCTCTCTTCTGTATTAAAATCTCTCTATTTTCTTTCTTTATAAGAGCTATAATTGCTTTGATTTGATTATGTATAGGCTAGGCTTGTCTTATTACTTTTAGAGAACTAGAAAATCAGAAGAAAGATGTTATCCTTATAAAGACGCATACAAAGAGAGTTACAAAGTAACATCATCCAGAAGAAAAAAACAAAGAAAAAATGGAAAAAGATAGAGAGAAATCATGAAAATCAAAGATGGAGATTGTCTTTGTATACCCCCTTTGTATTTGTCTTTATAAAACTAGCATTGCCCAAATCAGAAAGCTCTATCAATTGATAATATAATTAAATGCATAGAAAGCATAGTTTATAATAATACTCACAGAAGGCGATAGAGAGCAGAGAATTTCAATAATCGTTGTCTTGCAAGTGAAGCTGTGGATAAATCCAAAACAGCATTACACGCAGCAATCCAAACTCTCCTGTTAGAATTCCCTAACAAACAAATTAAAGCCTTGACAATCTCATTGTCCAAAGCAATTCGCTCATTACTTTCCAGAGACAAAAGTGAAGCCTTCCCTACAACCTCTGCCGTAAGACGCACAATCGTACCATATCTGCAACAATAATAATTCTCAATTAAATTGAAATAGAAGAAATAAAATAAAAAATCGGTGAGGGTTTGTATTTTGATTACTTGGATTTGAGGAGAATCGGCAGCAAAGAGAGAATGGGAATAAGAAGAGTTGGTTGGGAGAGACGAAGAAGTTTGTTTAAGCATTTTTTAATTAGGGATTTGGAGTTATTGGATAGAGCTGCCACTAAGATAGGGAAGAGAGTGTGAGAATTCATCTCAGTTTCCGTCTTTCTCTTGCTAATTTCAGACCATGTCTTTCTCTTCTTGCTCTCCATTTTTTCCTATCATGCTCTTCACTAATGGAACATGATTATAAAGGCTTTAGCAGTAACCTTTCCTGACATGTATCAATATTTTGGATGCATTTGCTATTTTATGGAACTTCTGGGTTTGATTTGTATAGACAATTGCATGGGAAAATCTTTGGAAATTATCCAAAACCCAGTGGAAAATTGTAAACATTTTCTCTGGTAATCCAGTCTCTTATATATATGCAAACGCTCAAAACAGTACGACCCGTTCATTTTCAAATCCATTTCCGTTTTCTGCAACTTTTTCTCGTATAATGTGAGATACCTGTTCACAAAGCAAATTTGTTTTTATAAAATTAAAGTTGGAGAGTTTGATTGGTTACTATTTTGGTTTGAAATCCTAATTTTCATAAAACAACTAAAAGATGTTTTCTCAAAATGATTTTCGTCACTTTAGCCAATCTATGCAATAAAAGTTTATTATTATTTTTTTTTTTTTTAAGGCAAACTAATGCAAATATTTCACTAGTTTATTTTTATTTTATCAGTTATCCATTAATTTAATTCTATTATACCAACTATAATGCAATAAGCATTACTTCACATTACATACATACAATTAAAAATAATAATAATAATAATGGGTGCGTTTGGTTCAGTATTTTGGATAGGATTTTGGGGATAGGATTTGATAGTTGGATATGGTTATAATTACGAGAATATGATTTGCAGAATATATGTTTGATTGAGTATTTTGACCTTGATATTTGTGTTGAATATTTGATTAATATATATTTTTTATAAATAATTTATTAATATAATATTTTATTGAATTTTGTTAAAATAATGTATTATTATATATATAACTTATCAAGTTACATTTTAATAATACTAAATATTTTATTGGTAATTTTGTCACCCGTAGATATTAAGAAACAAAAACTCATATTAATTTCAAGTACTAATCCAACTGTTTAAAAACATCATATTAATACATATATGATAAAAGTACTAATTATCAACCCTTACAATCATTCTTAAACGTATACTTCATTAACAACTACAAAAAACAAATTCAAACGTGTCATAACTGTCAAAGAGAAAGCGTGAAAAAGGGAAAGATTGCAAAAAAAAAAAAAAAAAATTCAAACGGTCAAGCTGTCAGAAAAGTATGGAATAGAATTTTGAAAATCCTATTGTCTAATATTGAACCAAACACTATTCTCAAAATCTGACTCAGAATATGGATGAAAATATTCATCCAAACGCAGCCAATAAAATTAGTTTATTTTATTGCATAATTGTACAATAATTTTATTAGTACAATTAATTTTGTTGTGCTTAGATTTATACTAACGAGAAATACCTAGAATCTTGGTAGAATCTAACAGAAGTTTGTGTAAAACCCGTGGTTTTGATGCTGGAATCAATGGATGAATAAGAAATCAAACAATGACATAAACAAAAGATTTTTAAAGTGGTTCGAAGTTTAATGCAAATCCACGTCCATTGTTCTTGAATTGCTTTAAGTGTTTTATCTACGCACAAGTACATCTACCAAGTATGAATCAAAACCGATCTATAATTTGAGTGAAAAATAAGCTTATTACTATTACAATGGTAAACTTGTAAATAAATTAACCTAAAAGAATAACACATGACGTGAATCCATACTTCAAAGTTACAGCACATATTTGTCCCTTAGTTTTTGGAGTTCGAGTTAGACTTAAAAAACTCAGGCTCCTACTTGGATGGATGTCGCACCGTGAGCTGCGATCATGAGCTGCCTATTTTCTGATGTGAGCATGAGCTGCCGTGTTGTGCCATGAGTGTGGCAACGCAACCTCTTGCATGGCGAACTCTTGTTAACTAAGGGTTGAGTGTTTTAACAACACGATCTGCTTATTGGAAATTCTTACCATTTAGGAATGGGGTTTTGTCTTTTCTAGGCTTTGCATTTAATGCAGGCATGTTGAGATGACATTCCTTTTTTGCGCATTAAATGCTAACACATCAGCAATGCAATTACCCATGTTTTGTTTGGCAATTATTCTCTTTTCCCTTCGATTACGACCACGTTGAAATGATGAATGGTTGGAGTTGACTCCCACCCAAAAGTAATTTGCTATAAATTGAAACTTGAACAGTCGTTCACCATCTTTGGCTTATTCTGCAAGTCTTTTGTGCAAAACCCTAGCAAGTTGTTCGAAACAAACCTAGCATTTTGCTTTCACTTCGTCCTTTCAAGCAAAGCTTTCACAACGTTTCTACGACCTTTTCGGCAATTTCTTCTTGGTGATCTTTTGTTGATCTATTGCAAGGTTTGTTTTCCTTTTCTTTCTTGCATATTTTCTTTTACTTTCATCGTCGATTGTCTCTGCCATTAGCATCTATAAGGTTGCTAGGACGATTTTAGGCTAGATTCTCACTTAGGCACGAACTAGTGGCTAGGTGGCTCGTAAGGAAAGATTTCCGCTGTTTGAGACCAAAGGTAAGTACGGTTTGAAGGCGAATACCTAGGGCACTTTATACACACAGTTGAGGAGTGTTACTCTAGGGCTCATAATTGATGCTTGTCTTCATGTTTTCAGATGGCTGAGAATACTGGCTCTTCCTAAAGAGTTCTTGGATATGCAAATGACACACCCTTTTCTTTTTCGGGTCCACCGAACAACGATTCTACCACATTTGCGACCCCGCTACAAACTGTGGGCATGCAACTAGAGAACCTTATGGCAATAAGGAGTATACCAGGATAGGCGAAGAAAGTTTACCCTCGAGCACAAGCAATCCTCTTACATGAGGTTCCTTTACCTTTTCAGCAATAACCCGGGAAAGTTAAATCGCATTAGGAATCAATATGCAATCTCCCTGCCCTTGAGTGGTCTAGACATATATTATGTGCAACAACCCCCTCCTGGTCATACTGCATTTTCGGAGGAAATTCTCAAGTGTGAGGTGTCTATCCCTTTTTATCCATATATACACAGTGTGCTCGATTACTTCGGGGTGGCTCCATTTCAACTAACCCTGGACTCCTATAGGTGCATTGTCGGAATGTACATCGCCTTTTAGGAGAATGATCTGGGCGATCTCACGGTGCTCGAGCTTGCGCAAATGTACTCCTTGAGGGAGCAAAGATAAGCAATGTTTTAATAACCAACCGAGGGTGAAACCCGAAAAAATTGTGGGGTCTCGGGTTGACCGGTTTAACCGGTTGGGTGTCAAACAATTTAAAATTTAGCAAATACACCCTTAAAAATTTGTCAAGTCCTTACAGGCTTGAAATTTAGCGAACACACCCCTAATACAAATCAACAATCGATTGGTTGGCGGCGGTGACGCATCAAATGCAATCACAATCATCCCTTGAGCGCCCTTCCTAAAAAATCTACCCAAGATCTAGTCGAAATCGATCGATTTCGGCTAAATCTCACCAACGCCAACGTCGACTGATTTCGGCTAGATCTCACTACCATTGACGTCAAGAATCCTCCTCATCGCCATGAAAATACTTGTCTCAGCCTCCTGACCAAAACCCATTTCACCCACTCCCATTTACCTCGCCAATCGTAGGCAAAAGCTGATTGTTGCCATCATCGGTTTTTTTCAATTTCCGGTTGATTAACTCACCGGAAATCACTTATGTTGCCACCATTGCACTCACATACGCTTTCTCTTCAAAAGTCCTAACATCCTGGCCTTCAATTGTTCACTAATCATCATTCCAAATTTTAAGGGTTTAGGTGAATAGGGAAATTGTTAACCTGGCCGGGTGAAGGTCCCAAGTCCCAATTCAACCAACTGAGCCAGGTTTTAAAACACTAGATATAAGTTTACCTATTACCTCGCTAAGTGCACTCCAAAAGATCAAGGAGGGATTGTCGGTGCTCTGATCATTGTCGTGGATTGGGAGTCCAAGTAAGTTGAAAAAAAGCTCGAGAAGGTAGAGAAAAGAGCTGGCATGTACTTGAGCTTCGCTTGAAAGAGATAAAAAGGATTGGCTCATTGCCTTGTGAAAAGGAATGCCTTGGTCAACTCTTTCTTTAAGAACATACTTGACTATCAAAAGGGGCTACAATAGTCACAAAGAGTGAGGGGCGAGCTTGAGGCGATGATGAAGGGGCATATTGAGAAGTTGGAAATCAGCGAGCTACAAGGAAGAAAGTCCTTGTCTTTTAGGGAAAGGATAATAGAACAAACCAATAAGTCCTTAGAAGAGAAAGACAAGGCCCTACGAGAGGCATTACAGGCTAAGAAGGATAAAGCCGCTCAAACGACACTCGATGTTCTCAAGCTTGTAAGGTTGGAGCACCCCGAGCTTGACTATTTATTCCTCCCATAAGACTACAAGAGAACACTCGATGAGTGGTGGGAGGCAGAAGAGGCCACTGATGTGAAGAGAGAGGTCACTCTTACCCCCCAACCTGCAGAGGTAGGGAAATCTTTTACGACTCCCCCTAGCAAGGAGCCTTGATTAGGTACTGGAGATTCCAACCCGGAGCTTGACTATTTATTCCTCCCATAAGACTACAAAAGAACACTCGACGAGTGGTGGGAGGCAGAAGAGGCCACTGATGTGAAGACAGAGGTCGCTCTTACCCCCCAACCTGCAGAGGTAGAGAAATCTTTTACGACTCCCCCTAGCAAAAAGCCTTGATTAGCTATTAGAGATTCCAAACCACCACAGCCGCCCCCACCCACCCCCCCCCTTTCCCTTCTCTTTAGGAACTTTATGAGACTTTGTAACTGTAATCACCTTACATAATGAATAAAAAGATTACTTTTTGTGTATCCAAACTTTGCACTAATTGGATGAGCATCTTTCTTTCCTTAAATTCTTTGCATGTCTACAAGTCAATGTTGGTTGTTGCCTGTGTTAAGATAGGTGCACTAGAGCCAATAATATTTGACTCTTATAATATTATATTGAATATCAATAAAGGCATAAATTCTATATCATAACATCCATTTATATATTTGCATATATATATTGATATATGTAAGGCCGTCGATGATGACTAAGAAAGACATACGATGAGGTGTGGGTGGTTGTTAACGACATGATTGGTTGGGGGGAAGGGAGGGAAGGCTGTGACTGGCGAAGGCTGCAGCAGAAAGGAGAGGTTAGGTGAGCAATAGTGTGCACAACTTTGGGTTTTCTTG